TTTTTATTCGTACAGATAAAGACAGGTTTGATTTATTCAAATTGTAATGTATACTCAGATATTTTTGTCTTCTGGCGAAAGATTTAGCACACGTATTAATGTCTCTGCTTTAGTCTCCAAGAAGCAGCCTGTTTCCTCATCATCTGTGGACTTCAGGGGACCTTGAAAATGAACTTTGCTAGGTTACTGTATTTTTTCACTCTTTTGGATGCTTAGTCGATTCCCAGATTTTATTCTGAACCGTGCATCACCCACTGAGAGTAGGGATTGCAGGGGATGATTCATTCGGTCGGTACCTTTTTGCAAAACAATATAACTGGTACCTCCTGAACCCATACACGAACTGAGACTCAACTTCCTTCGAAACTCGCCCCTCTCCAGATGCTTTGAGGCAGTCCTGAAACCGAAAAATGCATGCAAAAAAATCTTATTTGGGGGAAAGGTTCACACGAAAACCACACTCACTGCTGAAATCAATGTACAAAATGCACTACATGGGGGGGAATGCTTGCAAAAATGTGTATATGAGGTAAACATGCATATAAATGTGTATATTAGAAGAAATGTGCAGGAATGCGCATTTTGTCGGGGGAGGGGAAATCACAGAGTGAAACAGAAATGGGACAAATTGAACTTATGATTGGAAAAGGGAAATGGAAAAAGATGTTGAAATACACATTTAAAAAAAACCCCGAAGCATTTTTACTTGGTATTATAGGAGAGGATATTAATAGGCAAGATGTTAAATTGTTTTTATACGCAACAACAGCGGCAAGAGTATTGTTAGCCCAGAAATGGAAACAATAAGAGATGCCGACGAAAGAAGAATGGCAAACAAAATTAATGGACTATGCAGAATTGGACAAAATGACAGGAAGGATTCGAAACCTGCGGGACCAGAGATTTACAGAAGATTGGAACAAATATATGAACTATCTGAGGACCACTTGTAACCAACAAATTATGCTAGCAGGACTACAAGAAGTTGTGTGAGGAGAAATGTATGAAACATTGCAAATTAGAGAAAGAAGAGTGATAATAGTTATGAATTAAATGTAATTGAAGAAGTGGGAAATGTATATTTAGATATTAGACTGGAAAATTTTCAGATGAGATTGATGGAAGTCAAAAAAATTGTATAAGACGTTAAAATATGCTTAATTACCGTTAAATAATGATATGCTGAAAATTAATTTAAAAATTATATTTAAAAAAGGGAAAGGAGAAATGGAAAGAGATGGAGACTGACAGGTTTCTCCATCCCTAACTGAGACTGATGCTGCTGTCGTTTGCACATCACCTGCACTGAGATTCTTCCAAAAGAAGGTGGTCAGAAGAACACTTCAGAAGGTATTCACCTCCAATATTTTCTCAGTGTGAACGAGGAAGTGACCTATCCAGGCAATGGAGTGACATTTCTTACCCTTGACTAACACATTCTAGTCAGGCACAACCACTCAAGGGGGACTCTGGTTACAGCAGGTTCAGGATGAGGCATGAAGCGGGGACTTCACCTGGGCAGCATCCCAAGGGCTAGACAGAGAGGCTTGGGGTGGAGCACATTTGTCCCCTGAGGTTCTTCACCCCGGCCCTAAAAAATCTTGCAACTTGAATCATTGAGGTGACTGAACTCCAACCCTGTAGTTGGAGAGCCAGCATGGTGTAGTGGTTAAGAGTGGTGGACTCGTAATCTGGTGAAGCGGGTTCACTTCTCCGCTCCTCCACATGCAGCTGCTGGGTGACCTTGGGCTAGTCACACTTCTCTGAAGTCTCTCAGCCTCACTCACCTCACAGAGTGTTTGTTGGGGGGGAAGGAAGGGAAAGGAGCTTGTTAGCTGATTTGAGGCTCCTTAAGGGGAATGAAAGGTGGGATATCAAGTCCAAACTCCTCCTCCTCCTCTTAGCACCAAGCCTCAAGGTAAAATAACCGTAAGAAGAGACCCACTGGATTAGGCCAGTGGCCCATTTAGTCCAGTATCCTCTTGTCACAGTGGCCAACCAGAGGCTTGTGAGAAGCCTACAAGCGCAGCAGCATTTCTGTTCCTTTTGGTGGGGCTTGGCGGAGATCTGAATTGGGGTGCTCTAAGTAAGAGCTCCTCAATCAATCATGGAAGGATGACACAGGAAACAGCAGCTATCATGCGGAGTCTTGACTCACACCTTTCTTTACGGAGAAGAACCAGCAGGCAAATGCCCTGTGGAGATGGCTGTACAATTTTAAACTGTATTTACACAAGAACGGATCGTCTTAATCTACAGGACGATGGAGAGGGGTGATGTAAGATACCTCCATGAATAACGCCATTAAAGGGTTTACTGCTGACAAGATATCCGTAAGCCACAAGCTCATCTGTAAAGTTGTTGTTTTTTTAAAAAAATGAAAATAAAAAGCTGGCCCTGATCTACTTGTATTTCATCCCCCTTGGCCCTAAAATTCCATGTGGCAGTTGCCATTTGTTGCCAGCTTCTGAAAGCAGATCTGTTTTCTCATAAACGTAATGTTTACTTGCTAGGGAACTTAACATCTCATAGGCTAGGCAGTGGATCACTCTCAAATTCTTCGCTGATACAAATGCTATGTACGATCCCTGAACACTGCTTAAAGCTAAAATAAAATAAAATAGATAAAATAATAAATAAATAAGGGGGGGAGGGGAGTCAGTCAGCAGCTGCTTCCAAACTTGAGCCAAAACCCATCTAGCTGATCCAAACAGAGGAACCACAGGCTGCAAGGATGGCTCCGGCCGAAGCAAAGTAAATTAATCATCTCGCAAGCCACATCTCACAGCCAACAAAAATCACTTTACTTATGAAATATGAAATGAAGATTTGAACTTGGCTCTTGGGAAACATAAGGTTAGCATAACAGCCCACCGCACCAGCGATTCCGGCACAGGACCCAGCAGGAATCTTAAGCATCACTTCAAGAAACATTTCCCTGCCAGCATGTACAATTTCAGTTTCACAACTCAGTTCCTAGAGCTGCACCCAGGTATGTGCCTCTTTCAGCACCGCAGGTGAACCTCATAAGGAAAAAATACCACCACCAACCATAACTTCTTTTTAAAGTTTATTGTTAGAACGATTGTGGTTGGGGTTTGGAATTGCAGGTCAATAATGAATTAGTTTTTAACCTACATTGCAGCCTAACCCAAAACATGGAACAAGGCTACAGAAACCTAGCTTTGATTACTAAGGGAGGGGGGGGGACACAGACGACATACTTCTAATTTTTCACATGTTTCCTTTCTTTTTCCACTTTGTCTCAGTATAATCCGTGCACATCCTCCCTCTAAAAATTGCATATGCAGGTTTTTCTTAATTTCCTTTTAAAAATACTCAGTTTGCTGAACTGGTACAAATTAAGCCGACATCTTTTCTTTCTAAAATGCTCCATTTGTTGAACTGGTACAAATGAAGCAAACATCTTTCTTTCTTTCTTTCTTTCTTTCTTTCTTTCTTTCTTTCAACAAGAAAGATGCCCTGGGAATTGTTGGCTAGAAGAAAAATTGGCCAGAAACAGCACTGACGCAGGATGATCTACATCAATCACAGAAAACTTTTTGAAAAAAATAATTTGATTTTTTTTTTTGCAGAGAAACCAGAGCAACAGTTTTTGGGATGTAATGTGGAACTGTAGCGACTCCTGACACCCACAGCAGATTGTCCAAAGCGCTACAAAAGCAGGAGCATGACCTGACAGGTTTGGCCAATGGAAAGGCTTCAGCGGTCCTTTATGGCTAGGAACTATCACAGACAATGGATGGGGAACTTATGGTTCCCCATTGCTGTTGGACTCCAACTCCCATCAGCCCCCAGCCAGCATGGTCAATTATCAGGGGTGTTGAGAGTTCTAGTCCAAGAACATGTTCTGCATCCTGGCTTTAAGTTGTTGGGCTATATTATACCTACAATTGTATCTTCCAAATCTACAATTCTACGATTATAACCATTTGGTAGACAGGAAAATCAAAGCTTGATTGAAAATGTTCAGTAAGGTGCAGGCGAAGATTCAACCATACAATTTATTGGGAATGCTGTAGATTAGGGAGAAGAATAATAGAATTGAAGAGTCGGAAGGGTCTTGCTATTGATATCATATGTGGTGTTTGTAAGGTAATAAAAGCTTTATGAGAGATGATATACAGTGGTACCTCGGGTTACATACGCTTCAGGTTACATACACTTCAGGTTACAGACTCTGCTAACCCAGAAATAGTACCTCGGATTAAGAACTTTGCTTCCGGATGAGAACAGAAATCGCGCGGCAGCGGGGCAGTGGCAGTGGGAGGCCCCATTGGCTAAAGTGGTGCTTCAGGTAAAGAACAGTTTCAGGTTAAGAACGGACCTCCGGAACGAATTAAGTATGTAACCAGAGGTACCACTGTATAATGAAATGGGGGGGGGGGGAATCTTTAAAATAACTTTTGTTAAAAAACCAGAAGCCTTTTTATTACAAATTATTAGGTACCAACATTCCAAAGGAGAAGAAAAGACTTTTTATGTATGTGACAACAGCCACATGGATGCTACTAGCCTAAAGATGGAAAGAAGAAAGAGTCCTTACCAGAGAGGAATGCAAACTAAGCTGATAGACTATGTCAAAATGGCAAAGCTGACTGGAAAGCTCAGGAACCAAGAGGACAAAAACGTTAAGAAAGAATGGGAAAAATTCATAATTCATTTAGGTGACCACTGTAAGCAGATGAAAACATTAGCAGGATTTTAATCATACTTGTAATGTAACAAATATGATGGGTAATATGGGTAGATAGAAAATATAGATTATGATATAATATGCAGTTGAAAATGTTGACATTAGGACCCACGGAGGGGATGGGGGGAAGTTGCGAGATTCAGAGAAATCTCTGTATATGGAAATGTATTTGGTTTTGTTATAAACTGATATTTGAAAAATCAAATAAAAAAGATTATTAAGAAGAAGAAGAGTTGGAAGGGTCATCTAGTTCAAGCCCCTACAATGCAAGAATCCTGACCACAGCTGTCCCTGGGTGGGCTCAAACCACCAATCTTCTGGTTGACAGCCAAACACCCTGACCCACTGCTGCCAGCACAGCAATCAGAGTTACGGTGAAATACCAAGGGAAATAGAAATACGAAAGACTGATATAAAAGAAGGTCGCATAACTATATATAGCTGTTTCGTCTTGGAAGAAGATCACTAAAAGGATCTCTGGTTATAGCATCAATTGTCTGTATATGTGGAATGTATGGATGGTGTGGTCCTACCATTGGACAGAGTGAGGCGGCTGCCTCAGGTGGCAGATGCTGGGGGACAGAGAGCGGCGGTGAGGCATTTGAGCACAGCGCCTTCTCTGTGTTTGACACAGCTTGCAATGCACTACCTAAGCTAGCTGCTGCCCTGAGGGGAAGGGAGGATGCCTTCCCATTGCCAGGGTTTAAATAAGAGTCATCTGCCAGTCCAGCTGGCTTATGTAGTTATGTGGAATAAAGGGGCCATCTTGTACTTTGGCGGTCCCTCTCTCTTTGGCAAGAGAGGGAAGCTGCTAGCCTCACAACTGGCTGGAGCCTTCCCACATGCAACAGTCCCACCCTAACCCTGACCACGTAGAAGAAAAAATATGTCAAATGTGATTACACATTTAATGTAACACGTAGCTTGGCCCTAATGGTGCTAGCTCTAGCCAGAGTAGATCCAGAACTGACCTATATTGCAATGGGTCTACTCTGCGTAGGGCTAGCATTGCATACAACCCAATACCATTTAAACTAATTTGATTGTGTGGTATTCAACTACATTTTCTTCAGAAAAGACGTCTGGAAATTAATGGGCCTTAGTCATGGGCATTCATTTCAATGCATCTGAGTAAGTTAAATACCACCTACTGTATTAAATGTAAAATGAAATTTAATTTAATTTTTAAAATGTCAAGGAAGTGTACATTAGGGTTGGCTGAATCTATGTATTTGTGGTCTATGTCCATTTAATTTTAAGTCATTTGAGTTGTGTGTGTTTTTAAAAAAACTGTAGAACATTTTGGTTTTGAATATATATTTCATCATGACAGACATAATATAATAACTATTTTTATCTCAACGTGCATTTCTAAATTATTTTATCTTAAAATATTCATTTTAATGGATTTTTTGAGAAGAGAACTATTTTACAAAATTCAGTTTTGGGTTGTTTTTTCTAATGAAAACCCAGTATGTTTGAGGAGGCCAGGATTCCACAATACCTCCCTCCCCTTACACTTACGGTCCTGCAAACATCATTGGAAGCAAATATTTCAATGGGGGAAGTTTCCAAAGGACAAAGCACTAGCAATTATCTCTGGAAACTTGGCTTGAACCCCACCCAGAAAAGTAAAGGTCCACTTTAATGAAACTAGGAAGGTCATGAATGGTCTTGAACAGCTGCAACAATTCAAACATGCCATACAACAGTAGCTCTTTCTTAGATCGCACTCATTTCTGAAACAGGCCATGCCAGGTTCAGGCAGGAGCTTAGAAATTAGGTTTAAAACCCTCAGCAGTTCAAGAAACCATGCAAGTCAGCAAATGCCTTTCGAAGTCATTTTCACTTAAAAAATGTCTGCAGTAGAGATGCACAAGCCAAATGTGTTGGGGACTATAAAAATCAAAAGCCGATACGAACCTTGGCTCATGAAACAAAGAAACATCTCCAAATTTCAGAATTATATCCATAATTAAATACTCAATTTCCTGCTGTTTTCCTCCCCTTTAAAAAACAAATCTAGGCAGTTATAAACACAGAGCGATGCTTCAAGGAGGAGCGAACCAGATCTAATTATTATTCCCTGCTTTTATTTTCCAGTGAAAGTCCTGGCATGAAAGCACAGCAAAAAGTCCAAGCGAGGCAGGATACCGCTTGGAGTTATAGCTTACATTTAAAAAAAGAAGAAGAAAAAAAGACCTCAGTAAGGTCACTGCTAGCTCCTATTTTTAAAAGGGAAGTATGATTGTTAGGGGAAAATTTGATTATAAAACTCGCCTGGTATTAGCTTCGTCCAAACTAAGCATAAACAAACTTTTTTTTTAAAGAAAAAAAATTAGTTACTGAACCATGCAACCACCAGCAGTAAATGTTATCACTTCATTTTCTGCAAAATAGCTCAGAAACCTTAAACCTCCCCTTGCTTAACCCATCCAGCTATTCTCTCGAACAATTATGTGAGTTGTTTGCATTCCCAAAAGGGAGAATTTGGTGGCTGGATGGCCCACGTGACCTGTCAAGAGCCCTGTTGAGCAAAAAATGCTGGAAGGTGACGCTTGCGGTAACAACTTATTAAATTGCAATGCTGGGCTTGCATGGAATTTTTCTCTTTTGCTTTCAGCGCTGCCATCTTAAACACACAACGGATGGTGTCCCCTTGAGCCCAGTGGGACTTACTTCTGAGTAAACATGCACATAGTTTACTAGTAAGTTTTGTAATAGGCCTGCTCAGCTGATGGACCAAGAAAGCCAAATGCAACCCAGCAGTGATTCCACAACTGGGCCAAAGCTCAATGGCAGTGTATGGTGGCTTTTTTGTGCAAAAAGGCCCAGGTTCAATGTCAGGCATCTGCGGAAACGGCTGGGAAAGACCCCTCTGAGGAGCCACAGAAGAAAGCTCCCAGTCTGTGCAGAGTGGACAGTATGGAGCTAAGTGGACCACAGTGGACTCATAGTATTGCAGAGTTGGAAGGGACCCTCAAGACAATCTAAGCCAACGCCCGGCAATGCAGGAATCTCAACTGAAGCATCCATGACAGCCAGCTATCCAACCTTTGTTTAAAAACCTCCCATGAAGGAGAGTCCACCACCTTCTGAGGGAGTCTGTTTCACTGTCAAACAGCTCTTTCCACCAGAAAGATCTTCCTGATGTATAGTTGGAATCTCCTTTTTTGTAACTTGAAGCTGTTGGTTTGGTTCCTACCCACCAGAGCAGGAGAAAACAAATTTGCTCTATCTTCCATGTGAGAGCCCTTTAGATATTTGAAGATAGCTATCGTATCTCCTCTTTGGCGCTCCTTTTCCAGGCTAAGCATACCCAGCTGCCTTAACTGTCCCTAACAGTTACCTCATCAAAACCCACATTTTACCAGCTTCTCAACAAGAATATTATGGGGCACTTCATCAAAAAATTGTCTGATTCGGTGTAAAGGCAGCTTTCTCCTTTCCTCCTGGAACCCTCAGAACTGTTTCTGAGGATACTGGGGAGGATGCTATAAATTGGCATGGCATGTAAACTGGATGAGAAGTTACTCAATTATTACTAGTCATGCTTAGTCCGCATTAGGGTGTGCCCAAGGCCTCCTTAGGAGGTACATTTGTTTTTGTACTCCTGCAAACCTTGGAACTCCCAATGCCTGTTACTACCTTGTGTGTGGATGGTGTTGTGTTGGTTTTGTTGGCCATGGGAAAACATTACTAACAACAACATGGGAAAACATTATTAACAACAAATGATCACTTGTCATTAGCCTTCATTAAGGGTTTCCTTCTCCAGAATTTCCTTCAGATTTGTTTTTCCTCTGTTGATCTCATCGTTTATCCAGGTTGGTTGCATACATGGAATATGCTGCAAAAATATTAGCATTTGGAAGGAAAAATGAAAACCAGAATTTGGTGTGTATAGACAATAGCTTTCAGTTTCTTCCTCCCCACTGATATTTCAGTTGTTTTTTTAATAATAAATCACATCTATAACATTTGTTTTAATAATACGTTGAGACAATAAATTAGCAGCAGTACAGGTCATTCAAGAAACTCAAGAAAAAAAGGGGGGAAAGTAAGCCAGAGTAAGAGAAGCAAGAGAATGAGAACAAAATTATGAAGAAATTATGAAGAAAAAATGGGGAAAATTCACACAAATGCCATGTACACACCATTTGAGCTGGAAAGCTGTCTGCAGAGAAACGTCAGCTCCCTCAGCCTGAAGCAAGATGAGCGCCGCACCCCATAGTCAAGTCTGACTGGACTTAACCGTCCAGACAGCATCTTAAAAAGTAGAGACATCAGCTTGCCAACAAAGGTCCGTATAGTAAAAGCTATGGGTTTTCCCAGTAGTATGGAAGTGAAAGCTGGACCATAAAGAAGGCTGATCGCCGATGCTTTTGATGCTTTTGAATTATGGTGCTGGAGTGATCAAACCTATCCATTCTGAAGGAAATCTGCCCTAAGTGCTTACTGGAAGGACAGATCCTGAAGCTGAGGCTCCAATACTTTGGCCACCTCATGAGAAGAGAAGACTCTCTGGAAAAGACCCTGATGTTGGGAAAGATGGAGGGCACAAGGAGAAGGGGACGACAGAGGACGAGATTGTTGGACAGTGTTCTCGAAGCTACCAGCATGAGTTTGACCAAACTGCAGGAGGCAGTGGAAGATAGGAGTGCCTGGAGTGCTCTGGTCCATGGGGTCACAAAGAGTCGGACACGACTAAATGACTAATCAACAAAACTGTCCAGGGTGCCTTACCTTTACCTAACACACCATACATTTAAAGCACATGTTGCCTCCCAAAGTATCTTGGGAACCATCATTTATTAACTATGTGTTGGGAATTGCAGCTATGTGAGGGGTAAACTACAGTTCCCGGGATTCTTGGCGGGGGGGGTGTATGCAGCCAATGCAAGTCCTATTTTAAACCCATGAAAATTTATAGGATGTAACACATGAGGCACAACTAATTATTCCCGCTAATTTCAACGGGGCTCAGAAGTTAATTCGGATCCAACACATGGGATATATTCCCCAGGATTAAAGTATTTAAAGTATTAAGACTAAGATTCAGCGAAGATGATAACGTGAGATTAGTTTCAGTTGCCACATCCTGTCAAAGCTGCACAGCTTTAGGGCATGCGCAAAACACGTGACACAAACTGCCATTAAGTTCACAGCAATGCCAAGTGGCAGGCGATATTGCAGAACTGTCATTGTACCTGGTAATCACATTTATTCTGGGGGCCCTGCCAGCCAAATGAGGCGGCTTCTTTGCCCTTCCACAGTGGCTTAAGTTATACCCTCTGGAAATGCTTGAAAAAACACACCCTAGATATGTTTGCGACAGCTGACAGTCCCTACTGAATGGTG